ATCTCACACCACCACCCCATCTCACACCACACCCACCCCATCTCCTGCACCACACCCACCCCACTCCACCCCATCTTCACATTACATCAACCCCATCTCCTCCACTACACCCACCCCATCTCACACTACACCCACCCTGTCTCCCTCTCACTACACCCACCCCATCTCACATTACACCCACCCCATCTCCTCACACTACACCCACCCCATCTCACACTACACCCACCCCATCTCCCTCACACACACCCACCCCATCTCACATTACACCCACCCCATCTCCTCACACTACACCCACCCCATCTCACATTTCATCAACCCCATCTCCCACCTACCCCACCCCACTCACCCACCCCATCTCCTCACACACACCCACTCCAGCTCACTCACACTACACCCATCCTATCCCCTCACACTACACCCACCCTAGCCCCTCACACTACACCCACCCTAACCCCTCACATTACACCCAACCACTCACACTACACACTTTGCATCTAGTACTCAATCACAATACTATGTACCGCCTTAAACAATGTACTGGTAATACTCTGTAACATTCAGTGCCATAATATCAAAAGCACTGGGGTCTGATAAACACCCTTTGTGGCCTCTACTCTGTAATCCTTTTGGCGCTACTGCTCACAGGATGAGTATGGAGTGCACAATAAACTAGCTGCTGTCCGCGGCAAGATTTAGAAACTAATTCACACTACACCCACCCCGACCCCCCACCCTTCACCCTCACAACCCTTCACACTACTCCCTCACAATACACCCCCACAACCCCTCGCACTACACCTTCACAAACCCTCACACTACACCTTCACAAACCCTCACACTACACCTTCACAAACCCTCACACTACACCCTCCCCAATCCTCACACTACACCCTCACAACCCTTCACACTACACCTACACTAAGGTGATACAGGAGGATGGTACAAAAGGATTGATACAGGCGATGGTACAGATGGAGTGTTACAGGAGGTTGGTCCAAAAGGTGCAGGTCAACGAGTTCGTGAGATGACTGTAACCATTTGCGTCCACCATCTCAAATATTTACATGATGCCCTGTGAAATCCATCTCTTGGAAATCGGGATACGCCATAATAAAGGGCCTCACTGACCTACTACTACTACTAATAATAATAATAATGGTTGCCCCTCGTGTAACGAGGATGGCCGGCCCAATGGCCACCTAGGCGTGAATTTGTTTAAGGTGTAGAAGCTGTCACCAACACAACAACCACACCCTAAGTTAACGAGTTGCATGACCCAGTGTCAAGGAATAGTCCGAGAAGACCGGACAACTCGCCAACTGCACTGGCTAACCATTACTCTGGAATTCGATCCGCAAATCGATTAACATCCAGGTCCCCACTTACTGCTGGGTAGACAGAGGCATATGACGTAAAGAAACTTGCTCATAGTTTCACCCAGCCCGGGGATCGAACCCGGGTCCGCTCGCTTGCGAGGCGAGCTTGCTGACCATTACACTACGTTCACACCATAACAGGACGCATCCAATTTACACCTCAAACATCGTCACACAGTTATTAACACTCACCTTATTGATTATTGTTTATACCTCATTCATATTGCCACAATATGCACTTTGACATCCTTAACACCACTCACTGCCACAACACCACCACAGTCATGCACAACACCGTAACGTCCACTACTACTACTTTGCTGTCACTCGGAATCAAGTATGACGATCATCCAGCTATGGTAAAATGATATGGGTTTTAGGGATGTCACCTAGGTTAGTGAGTTTTGAGGTGACTTAAGAGCCCGATACTGGACCGGCAGCATATTCCACATTCGTTGCACATGTGGAGGGCCCCATCTACTGTGGGAGGGGCGGTGGCAGCGTCTTTCCGACGTTGGCGCTTATCTGCCTCGGTTTGCAGTCGGGCTAACTGGAAAGTATTGACAACTTCCCGTGTGGTGGTCCTCCAAGCGTTTCGATGTGGAGTAATCGACTCACAGGTGAGGGGGTCGATTTGGCGCCTTTTCAGGTTTGTTTTAAGACTATCCTTATACCTTTTCAATTGCCCGCCAGCGTTACGTTTACTATTCATTAGGTGACTGTAAAGTAGCTGCTTTGGCAGTCTACTGTCGTCCATGCGGGTAACATAACGTCCACATTAGCACCTTCACACCACAGTACAAACTGTCAGATTAGCTTCATTCACATCACATAACATCTCTCATACTCTGCAATTTTACATTGCAGATTATATACGTATATATTTATAATTTAAGGTGGGAAGAATGTAGTCAGCCGCCTCTATAAATATACTGTGAAGGCTGCGTGTGTGCAGGTCCTGATGCTGTATTCAGAAATTTCATGAACAAAAAATGGCCAACAAATTGGCAATTTTTGGTTAAAACAGAATTATTATCAAAGATCTTAGAGGAAACGACGTACCTGCGGTGTACCCGTTAATTATTAGATTTTTTTTATTACTTTGAAAGATATCGTGTTCCCTATAGGGATAGACCGCAAACGTGGACACAGATCTAGCGGCGAATGCTATTCCTTAATAGCTCTCTCTCTCTCTCTGTGTATATATATATATATATATATATATACACTGTACTAATGACACACTGTACTTATCTAAATGGGATAGGTGAAACACATATGAAGATTCTTGTTACTATTAAGAAGCGTGTTTGTGCCTGACTTCAGTAAATTTTTGTATATTTTTGTGGTAACGTAATACATAAGTGGATAACAGGATAGGGTGTTGAAGAGTGGGTGAGAGTATTCATGGCAGCATCACTCAAGTCGCGGGGATGGGTTGACGGAAGTCGCTGTAAATTTCAACTCAACCCTCCGTTTCGTCAACTTCTCCTAGGAATACTTTACATCCACATTGATTATACTGTTATCCCAACATAATTATACTTATAATATATAGAATGTACAGGTATTACACATACGAATAAAAGTGTACTCCTATGTATAGCTGGTATCAACACCTACAGCAGCAGACCCCCTCACCCCGTGGCCATGAGTCGCTTGCATGTGTTGCTCCACCCCTTCCCATTCTCCTCCCCCACCTCCCACAGCCCCCCCCTCCCACCATGTCACCGGGCCAGCTTGACAACAAGCTTCCTCGCAGCTAAATACGGGATTATCACGTGAGTCATTGTTGCACTGTATTCCAACCACGATTTCCCTTAACATTTATAATATATTTCCCTCAGACACAGTTTGGGTCTGCAGAATTCTTATTGTTGAGTTTTTCATGGACGTGCGCATATATGATTCGTGTCATGTAGGGACAGTACTGTAATTGATAATCTATTCACTTAAGTGATACGCTTATTTACTCCTTAATTGCCCAATTTGTCATATTCTTAACCAACGTAGTTTTAACATTGCACATTATTATCATTTGCATAATTATAAATCCCTACCTTTAATCAATTAACTATTGAAACTCAATTTAAATTAATTGGTATAGGATGGTTTATTGTACTGCTTTTAAACTTCCTACAAGTATCACAAGTAGTATTCCTATTACGTCACACATTGCCTAGGAAGGACTTGAGCTCACTGACAACTTGTCATGTACATTGCATGCTCATCACACATTCATGTAGTTAATATATTGACATTGTTACAAAAAATACTATTGTAACATATTTTTATTAATGGAATACAAACTTGTTACTGTGTGTCTTGAGAAACTTCATTAACGATCGTTTGAGTCAGTCACGAGTATGGTCCTGCGGCGTCATCTGCTGGGTGATTTCTCATTGGTGGGTCTGAGTTTGAGGTTATTTTAATATTTACCAGGGAGCTGTTGATTGGTGGTGTTGGAATTGGCGCCAGGCTGTCTGGTGTAGATGTTCAAAAGCCTGCACGTCACGTTCTCATCACATCTTCACATGTCCCGCACAAACCTTACACTCAACTCGTTCCCCATCTGCTCCCAGCAATGCACTCAGTGCATTAGTGACAGTGTACACAAGTGTGTTAGTGCACGGAAGGGCATCCGGTAAGATGTTCTAATATAATTATTATAAGGAGATAGCTGGAAAAGTATGTGGCGCCAATAAGTCATCAGGAGCTGTGACGAGTAAAAAGGTGCTCCCATTGACAGTGTGTATGTGGCTGACATGTGTTATAATACGAACTACACCCACACCTTAATCTCGTCATCCCTTTCAGATAAATCAAGTGTAAACATGAGTTTTCGGGCGGCAAGTGTCGTAAGACTACACTCTTCATTGCTGTATGACCATGTTAACTGTCACAACTTGAAACTTTCAGCAAATAATGTTAAATAATGTGTTTAAATTATGATTTCTGGAAACGGAAATATATCGTTTAATTAACACGCTTGAAATATGAAGAATGTCACATTTAAATCTGTAAGGCAAATTTATAAAGATTATATGTATATCGTGTTCGAAGCTCATCAGAGTGATTAGATGCTAATTATTTTCATCCTACGTAGATAGAGCAATATACTTGATAAGCGATAAGATACTCCAGCTGATCAAGGAACCAATGGCAGGGCAGGGATATTTTCGTCTGAGAGCATGTGCCATAAAAATATATATACGAGTTAAATTATTTTGTTAATTGTTGCTTACGTTGAATCAACACTATAGTTTCGTTACCGAGGTTAAGTGAACGCTGTAAAAAGTGAAACTACGAGGAGAATGAGTTGTACATAGTTTAGACCAGGCTCCTAGTGACTGTCATTCACCAGGCAGGCTGCGACGCTGCCAAACTACTCGTAGAGAACGTTGGCAACTGAGGAGGCAAAGGTGGCAAGTATTCTCTATTATCCGTAGTTATTTCGTAATAATCGTATATTTCCATACTATAAGATTATTAACACATGGAATGGTTGTTAAATAGTTAATATCAGTATTGAAAAATATATTTAAACAAATATTCTACTAAAGTTGGAAATCATTCAAAGCTCGGCAACGGGCATCGCTCGTCAAGGGTCGCTGTTGGATCGGTGGTGTCTCCAGTCGGCCCGCAACCATACAGGAGTGAGGATGCATCACTGCGACAGCCGGCGTCTCCCAACATGACATTTATTCGCTAACTATAACGCTGCGTGTGTATGCTGTATAGGCATAGCGGTTTAGTTAGCTTGATTTGATACTGCAATTAAGCTTAAAAGATTGATTCATGTAATCAACCAGTTAAAAAGTCGCATCGTTTATTGTGAAATGGTAAAAAGATAATGAACATGATAACCTCTAGTTGTGTGATTTGGCAATATTGGTAAATTATTTTATCGTGTGTGAATATGTCTACAAGTGTTTGTGAATAAATATGTCGAGCGGAAGCAACGGCAAGATGCTCGACACTGGCCTCCTGTATGAGGCCATGAAGGCGGCGCGGCCAATAGCCTGCCCTGTGCCGCACGCCCACTCTGGGGCAACATCCACTCAAGGGGGCTCACCAACCTCCACTGTGTCCGCCTCGCCCACCACCACCTCGGCTATAGGCCTCTACGACACCGAGAACAACCTTAACAAAGGAGGCAATGGGGACAAGGGGTACACGGACAAACACGTGCTCAATATCGACAAGGAGAACTACATGCTCAAATGTGGCCCTCCGCCCACCCCCATGTGTCTCCGGACTCCATCCACTGCACCCACAGACCAAATTCTTTTTAACGTGACAACGTCCTCCGAGTGCCGCAGTAGCGTTTTGACGTGTCTGTGTCGGCCACAGTCTTGTGGAACACCTGTGAGTGGGGGTAGTGGATCCCTATTAGCGTACTCTACAACGGGGGGATCCCACAGCCATAATAACGGCACTAATCCAAACCAGCATAATGTGTCTCACACGATGTCCTCCATCTTACCTCTTGTAGAATGCCGAGCCTGCTTCCACAACGTGTGTACCTCCTACTCTTCCAACCATCCTTGTGCTCGCCCGCATCACGCCCTACCGCCACCCACGCTCACTACAGATGTGGTAAGTACATTTTATATCTTTTGTTACTGAATGCTTATTAGGCCTCCCTTGCCAAGCATTGTCTTCCCATATAAAACTTACAAAATAGAATTAGTCGTAGTGATTTTGTCATTCTGTGAAATTGTCTTAGAAGACAATAGTTCTTAAACGGTTTAGACGAAATAGTGTTGAATGGTCTGTACCATTGAATTTTTCCGGTTTCACATGTGAAGACTTAGTTGAACCGCGAAACCTATAGTAATTAATATTAGTGAAGAGGGAAACCGCCCGAATATATATATATATATATATATATATATATAGTGCGTGTGTAATGTACAGTTCTTGCCAGGGCAAATGTAATTGTACTGGATGTCAAAACATGGTAAGAAATTACGTATATATTAAAGGAGTGGCGTGATTTATGCAGAAACAAATGTAAGTCTTAGGTAAACGTAGTTATGAATTATAGTTTTATTGTAGGTTCCACGAAATTAATCTGAAATTACCACTTCCTTCACAAATTTAAAAACAAAATTCAGGTTAAGGATTTAAGTACACGTATAGCAATTCCCATGTGATCTTTATGAATCGTGCCAAGACCCAGTAAGCAACGTTTTTATTCATTATTATTCCACATTTTCAATAAATACTATAATACATTGTAGTGTTAAGCAGATACCGAGTACTTATGTTTTTTGATACTATCTCCTTTACTCGCTATAATTTGTTGTAAAGATGGAAGATCAAGTTGTTTAAGTACTACTTTTGGATAATGTTCAGGAAATTATGCAATGTAAACTGGATGCAGATGTTCATTATAAATTGTTTACCAAGAGTTCTATTAAAGGTTTCACGGGTAGTGACAGAACGAAGCATGAACCAAAGTGATTGTAACGTTTCAAGGGTCCCATCTGTAAATTATGTAAAGGTCAAGATTGGCAGTGAATGGAATTATTAAACCTGATCTACAATTTCGACCCAGATATTAGGTTCATAAGTAAAGATATATAATTTATTATGTAGCTGAACACTGAAAATTTTGTCATCCGAGGTTCGTGTGTGGAGCGCTAGATGGCCGTCCCGTGCAAAACCGCACTTGGAGACAACCTTCCGAGGAATCACGACTGATGAGCCATTGATTTATTCTTTTCTGGTTATCCTTTGGGAGTAATAGACTTTTTTTTGCCATTATTTTACACCTACACATAATGCTGGAATGAGTTTTACCAATATTGTACCTTTGTAAATTTCAAAATAGCTCGGTGAATGTGAGCGGCTGCTGGGGTTCGTGCAGGGAGGTCGGTTCATATGACGTTCTTACCCTGAGCGCAAACTGTGTGCCAGAGCGGCTTGCCAGGTGTGCGATAATCTCTCTTCCTGGGAGTGGAGGTGGACTACCTAAGGACAAGAAATAACTTTTTACCTCATTGGGTAAATCATATTACATTATTCAATATTTTGCTTTGTTTCAAGAAATATGTAGTATAGGATAAGTACTGACAGGCTATATATGCAGTCCGCAAACGGGCTATTTCCAGTTGGGTCTCTATGTAGGTTAAGACTAGGTGCTGTTACCAACTCTAATCAGCGAACCTATTTGATCTACAAACCCTTTTAAGATGGTTAATGCTATTGATTACATTGACAGCATAAATACAAGATTGATTAACTTGTAGGTGGCGGCTGTTAACGGGAGCGATGGCTTCACCGTTCAGCCCCGGAACAAAGAGAGCTGGGAATAGCCGTTGTTGCTACGCGGCCCCAACCAGGCCCGCGCTCTGCTGACTGCTGTTGATACTGGGCTAGATACTGCTACTCTTTCATGGGACTTAATATGGAATCATAACCTATACATTCGTGGTGTATAACGTGATTATATATATACATACATATATATATATATATATATATATATATATATATATATATATATATATATATATATATATAATATATATATACAAGGAAAGAAGAAGCACTAAGCTTTGTCACATTTTCAGGGTGAGTACAGACTTACTCACCCCTGAAGATGTGAATTACACGAAAGAACTTCGTGTTTCTTCTTTCCTTGTGGTTATCAGCATATACCTAGATCACGCGCACCTACAGTGATTTACTTATATATATATATATATATATATATATATATATATATATATATATATATATATATATATATATATATATATATATATATATATTGATAAAATCACACGGGAAAGGGGAAACAACGGAGCACCTTAGCTTTCGTCTTTACTCAAGACATCTTCAAACAACATAAGTATAATATCAGAACAGCATCTGAAAGCAGTGCCTTGTTCGTTCATGTTAGGAATAATAATCACCCCATTGCTTGGGAAAAAAGCTTAGGAGTATTTAAATCATCTTGTGTCACATAAAGACTTCTGGTTGAAGCTAGTTTGATTAAGGAATTAAAATCAATAAACCTTAGTGATGGTCAGTTCAAAACTGATAATATGCTACACAAATTTATTTGTCAGTGGCCCAAGGTTAAAATGCTTTGAAAACCTTTGATCTAGATGTATGATAGTTATTTTGTGGGTCCCTTATTTTTGACCTGACCTGACTAGTCACGTCACCCCCTTCTCCTAAGCTCATCTACGTGTGTGTTGGTGTGGGGATTAGTGGATGACATCATAATGACCTGACCTCATGTTTTTAAGGTCACCCTGTATATTTAAGCCTCTCTCTAAAGATGTCTTGAGTAAAGACGAAAGCTAAGGTGCTCCGTTGTTTCCCTTTTCCCGTGTGATTTTATCAAGATTTATCTTATCCACGATTTCATTGTGGATCTACATGAAAAAAAAAAAAATATATATATATATATATATATATATATATATATATATATATATATATATATATATCATTGTTTGTATGTACTGTTATCAATGATACCGAACGACTTACCGGTACTTAAGTTTCGGCTACCATGTCAAATTGTCGGTCATGCATAACCATTTATTGGAATAAAGCGTAGTGTGATTAAGTAATCGTGTCAGAGTACTTGAGCTACAGGTTGGTTTGGATGCGTAGCAAGAGTTGAGTTGTTGGTTTACATAACGATATCATGTGATTGTAGGTGAATGCTCACAATCAATTTGTACCTTTCTACACATTGAGGGTTACACGGTGTTTTATTGATTAAGGATTTAAATTACAATAATAATTCTAAGAAAGTGTTGGTGTATACTACCCAGTTAATTTTTGGACGTTCAATTTTTTAAAGTTAAGCATTGTACACAATTTATGAACCACTAAAGCTAATAGCATGATGTTTATTGCTGCTGAGTCAAGTTACGTTTGTATGTCAAGATAAATTATATATAGGTACGTGCTATCCATGGATGTAACAATAACCATTTACCGTATTATACTCTATGTAAGAGTATAATGTGTTGGAAAGCCCATGGGCTTTTATTTAATGGTGGTTCGGTAAATAACCTTCTTTGAGTAATATTTACTTGAATGCCATTATACCTGTACTTCTGCATGCTATATTGCTGATATATCTGTAAAATTGTAGATAGTCTTTACCATAGACTTCGATATGAAAGTCTGTCGCCATGGATGGCTGAACAAAGACCGGGCTCAAGACTGCATCGTGTTACCCAAGTTTCATGCTGATGAACAATGGCTGTCCGTCAGACACACTAGTTGCTGGACTAGAAAACTTAAACTATGTATGATTTTTTTTGACACCATGGATCATCCATAATCAACCCTAAACACTAGTAAACCCAAAAAAAATCACCTTTGAACCTAAGTAATTTTTAGTAGCCTCTCCCTCATTTTAATGCCTTTGTGAAGTGCTCAATAGACTAATAAGATTTCCTATGCCTAATACAAAAATATCAGCTCGTTACAATTGAAACAATAACGTAGGTCACAGCTTGTTACTAAAACTATCCTACAGTAAGAGCAAAAGTCCCAGACCCATAACCCCACCACAGTACTTAAATACTGTATAGTCTTGTGGTTTTCAGTTTAAATTATTTAATGGAGGGGGGTGGCAGGAAGCCTCCTGGCCACAGTTTTGTGTCCGGTAGGGACGGCGAGGATGACCCATCAGTTGTGGGTGTGGTTGGGATCAGAGCGATGACCAGGTCTCAGCTTTGGGCGCTGTTAAGTTCAGAGGGCTGACTCGGTCATAGTTGAGGGCGTTGTTAGGATCAGAGTTGTGACATGGTTGAGTTTCGGGCAATGTCCATTCCTGTGAACATTTGTACACATCAGTTGGGTTCAGCATTTACCATCAGTGTTATGCGATTGTGGTATGAAACGAACGGGGAAAGGAATTGGGATGAAAATTTTCTTTTGTGACATCGAGTAGGAACACAGCTCTTAGCTATTTTGTTGCCGGAAAGTGGAATATTGATTGATTGTGGTAATTACATACCTGGCGACGTATCAGCTTAAGTCATATGCGGAAAGAGGAAGTTATTGTTCTTAGCAAATACAGCACACTATATACAAGCTTTAGCTATTACAAGTAGGTAGGTAGTAACTAGCTCGTGTAGCTATATACCAGCTGGTTGACTTGCTCATTTTGGTTTGTATTAGATGGACTAAAAGGAAGTTCACTTAACTTTGATTATCGATAACAGTGCATTTTTTAATCACGGGAACACTGTTAGATTTGGAAGGCTGCTTAGTGTACAGGAAAGAGCCTTTATAACTAATGTAATCACTGGTTATGGGTTTATGCATCTTAAATTTGACGTAATGGTAAAGATTCGTTTTTGTCGACCACTGAAACTACTAATAAAAATGCCAAGTGTAATTTTGTGGTGTTTCAAGAGAATCTGACCTTCATTTCCATCGCAAATGAGCCGTTACTAAAAAGAACACCAAACAACCCTTTGAAAACTTTACCTAACCTAACCTAACCTGTAGAAAGGTTTAAAAAAATTAGATTTTATGGGTACCTCATCATCTAAACACCGAAAACACCACATATCATTGCTAAACACCGAAAACACCACATATCATTGCTA